GCTCAAAGAATCTGTATGAGGTTCCCATTGCTCCCCGTTGGACCACTGTTCAGTTTCGGAATGAGATGCAAGTGCAGATTGTTCATGAACTCTTTGAGCACAACAAGAACAGATATGCCAAGCAGTGGACAATTGATTTTGATCATTGGAGAAACAACATGGAGTATTTTGGTGAGGCACTAGCTCTCTGCGAGGAGTTTGATCTTGTCAAGATCATGTCAGTCAACTGTGACTTTGATGTTCAACTTATCCATCAGTTCTATGCCATGGTTCATTTTGGAGAAGATGATGCGCGCACTCTCACCTTCATGTGTCGCGATGAATTGTTTCACGTTCCCTGGAGGGCTTTCTGCAATACTATTGGGTACGAGGATACCGGTCTGCAAGGAAGGGGTGGCATTCGCACTCATGATTTTCCTGAGTCCATGCCTAAGGAGAAGCTTGCCCCTCTGTACATTAGGGGCCGTGGGATTATTGGAGAATCCAAGGATTTGGAGAAGGTCTATGACATCATGCACCGAGTGTTCCGCAATGTGCTCTTGCCCAAGGTGGGCAATCAAGATGAAATTCATGGCTATCTGGTTGATTTGATGGTTGCTATGAAGACCATGGTGGGGACAGGGGCAACGTTTGATGTGTCAAATTGGCTGTGGCATGAGATGTACAACATGGTCATCTACCGTAAAGTCCCAATCTACGCTCCATTTGTCATGTGCTTTCTGAACTCTGTGTGGGCTGTTCGTCGTCCTGGAGAGCTCCTCACTTCTCCAGACAACCTCACTGTTCATGAGGTCAAGCTCCTTAAGAAGAAGAAGCATGCCGAGCCTCGCTTCCCTGAACATGCTCCTGAGGATGTCTATGCTACTTCTGACGATGAGGACTTTGAGCTGGAGCCAGGGGCCAAGCCTTCGTGGGTGGCCAAACTTACTGCCAAGGTAAAGAAGACCTTTTGTCTCCAGGATGACATCCAGAAGAAGATGTATGAGGCACATGTCAATGAGAAGCTCGCACGGCGTCGCCAAATTGCAATGATGAAGCACCTCAACATGCAGGTTCAGAGTGGCTCTGAGAAGAGCATCACCCCAGAGGAGCGTTGGATCTCTACCCATAGCACCTGGACTGATGATGAAGCCCCTCCCCAGCCATCATCCTCGCTTGCAGCAGCTGACAATGCCATGGAAGAATCTGATCACGACGATGATGACGACTCTGATGATGAAGATCCAGATGCGACTGAGGAGTCAGAGGAGGACGCCTGAGCTTTGGGTCGCTAGCTTCGCTCTTTTCCTTTTTGGTGTCTTGATGCCAAAGGGGGAGAGGGTTCTATAGGTCTCGGGGATTTGCTTGGGTTGTTTTTCTCTTGTTCTCGTGTTTTGTGTTTGTTTGTGGACTTGGTTCGTTCCGTGCTGTGTGTGTGACTTGCTACTCTGTTTACCGTTCTGTACGTAGGTCTTTATCGCTTTTATTGCCTCTAAGTATTATATTGTCTATCCTTCTGAGCTCAGAGTGATGAGTCTATAAAATCTAGGGGGAGTCTAGTCCTGAAAGTGTGCCCATGCTTACTAACAGCTAGTACTTGTTGGGGCACACATTCAGGGGGAGTTCCGTCTAGATTTCATTGACTTATCTCTTGAAAATCGTGTTGTTGTCATCATCCACCAAAAAGGGGGAGATTGAAAGGGCATTTCCCTACTTTATGTTTTGGATGATGATGACAACCCTTTGTGGTCTAAACGTGTGCTATATGCTTCAGGTTCTCGATGCTTAGGTTTATATCGGATTGCTATTACCTCTCGAAGGAAAAGATCGAAGACGTGTCCTCTATGGTTTTATTTTCTTTGGTCGTAGAGTACCCATACTTTCAAGAGGGAATCCTCATTAGGAAGCTCTGGGGGAATCAGTCCACGTACACTTTTCTCACCCTCTCTTTGCCTTCCTCAGGTGTGTGAGAGAGAGAGAGAGTTTTCCTTGCCTCTTCCCCTCTTTTCTTTTCTGCTCACTGTTTCTGCCCAGTGGTTGTACCGCTCTCTGGAGCGGTTGTACCGCTGGGTCTTGTCGCTCACCAGCTGTGCTCGAGCGGTTGTACCGCTGCCTCCGGGCGGTGGTACCGCCACCATGCTCTGCAACAGCTGGGGCGGTGGTTCCGTCCATGCACCGCTCAAGTACCGCTCTCGCTTCTGGTTTGATGCGGTTCTTGGGCGGTAGTGGCCCGGTTGGTCCGGTCGTTCCATGATGACCGGTACCACCAGTGGTCCGAGCGGTTCTTTCGCTCAGGACTTAGCCACCCAAGAGCTCAAGGCCATACGGTTGTTCCGGCCAGGCACCGCCCAAGTACCGGTCAAGCTCCTGTTTTGATGCGGTGATTGTGCGGTGGCCAGGCGGTTAGTCCGGTTATTTTTCTTAGCCGGTACTACCACCCCCTTGGTCCAGTTGTACCGCTTGGTAGGGTTCTGCAGATACACCGTGAGTCCCGGTTGTACCGCGACGAGGACCGGTTGTACCGCTGCAGTGCTAATTTCGCAGTAACGGTTGGAAATTGAGGGTGACTATATAAGGGAGCTTCTCCCACCTACCTCTCCTACCTTTGACCTCTCTCACTCCACCATTGATGCCCTTCAAGCTCTCTTGCCCGATCTCTCTCTCTAGCCACTCAAACTTGTTGATTTGCTAGGGATTGAAGGAGGAGACCTAGATCTACACTTCCACCAAAGGATATTTGGTTCCCCCATACTTTCTTGTGTGGATTTTGTTACTCTTTGGTGTTTGAGCACCCTAGACGGTTGAGGTCACCTCGGAGCCATATTCCATTGTGGTGAAGCTTCGTGGTTTTGTTGGGGGCCTCCAATTAAGTTGTGGAGAGAGCCCCAACCTTGTTTGTAAAGGTTCGGTAGCCGCCTTCAAGGGCACCAATAGTGGAATCACGGCATCTCGCATTGTGTGAGGGCGTGAGGAGAATACGGTGGCCCTAATGGCTTCTTGGGAAGCATTCTGCCTCCACACCGCTCCAACAGAGACGTACTTCCTCTCAAAGGGAAGGAACTTCGGCAACACATCCTCGTCTCCACCGTCTCCACTCTTGGTTATCTCGTGCCTTTATTTAAGCAAGCTTACTTGTTTCATATCTCTTGCTTGCTTGTGTACCTTTCCTCGTTGCATCATATAGGTTGCTCACCTAGTTGCATTTCTAGACAACCTATTTTGATGCAAAGTTTAACTTGTTAAAGAAAAACTAAAAAATGTTAGTTGCCTATTCACCCCCCCTCTAGTCAACCATATCGATCCTTTCAACGGGGAGGTGCGGCGCGTCGAGGGCGTCCGGATGGTGGCGTCGGGGTGCGTCGGCGGCGTCCGAACGGGGCGGGGCGAAGACGGCGGCCTTCGGTGCTCCGGCGGCTCCGGCGTCGACGGTGCGGCGTCTCCGACGGAATCTAGGGGCAAAAATAGTGTCAAAAGGATGCGCCTCGGCGGGCTAAGAAGTTTTACAGAAAAAGGAAGGGTCAGAGAGGTCTACGGGCGACGAGTTGCTCCGGCGAGGTGCGTGGCTCCGGCGAGATGCGAACGGGCAGCGCGGCGGCTGTGAGCGGCGTGGGGAGAAGCGGGACGACGAGGTCGACAGAGGGGGTCGAGGGGGTTTTATAGGCGATGGCAGAGGGCTCGGGGTCGACGGATAAGCATTATCCGTGAGGGAGGCGGCCGGCGGTTGCGGGAGCGCGGCGGCGAGTGTCTATCCCGCGCGGTGCGGGAGCTTAAGGATGGCCTGACGGGTGGGGCCCGCCTGGCAGCGGCAGTGAGAGGAGGTGAGCGGGAAGGGAGCGCGAGCGGTCGACCGATGCGGGGGTTTTCGGGCGCTGGGGCGCTGGCCTTGGGCCAAATGGCCAGCTGGGCCGGCTGGCCTGGCGCGGCTGGCTGAGCGCGCGTGTCCCTGGGCCGAACTGGTTTCGGTCCAGGCGGGTGAGTGCATGTTTTTTTACTCAAGACTAAAATGTCCCTAAACAATTCAAATGAATTTATAAAAACACCACAATAATTTCTAAAATAACTATGTAATATTTAGAGCCTAATGAACATTAACTTAAGCACAGAACATTTTGAAAATATTTTCCTAATGCAATTAATGCACTTTTTGCAAATAAAATAAATACCAATAAACTCCAAAACTTCAAATAATATTCAAAATAAAATTTCCCACTCTTTTATATTTTGAGGAAGTCATCTTATCCCCTCTCATTTGTTTTTCTCTAGTGGAAAAGATATTATTTGAATATTTCAAAAACTCCAAAAATGCAAAGAAATATGATATGCATTGAATGATTCCATTAACATCCAAATTAATAAAATTGGGATGTTACAGTGTGCGTGTGTGCGCGTGTGCGTGTGCGTGTGCATGTGCGTGTGCGTGTGTGTGTGTGTGTGTGTGTGTGTGTGAGAGAGAGAGAGAGAGAGGCTCCCTCCTTGCTCTTCTAATAAATCGAGAAGAAAAATATATGATGATCCATAACACCAGATAGGGTTGCTGCAATTTTCTCATTTTAGATCATATTATTTGTGTTGTTTGTTCAGCCCGTGACTGAATTTCTTCCTTCTATATTTTGCACGAATTTTCTGCCAACCCCCACTGTGTTCCAGCAAGCCCGTGGTCTAATTTGTTTGAATTTTTTGAAACCTATGAATACACTTCTGAATTTTTCAAATAAATAGACCACTGAAAACGCCGGTGTCTGAAGCCTGATTCCCAATCCCAAGTGCCGCCTCTATCCTGTCATCGTTGCACACGGTCATCCATTTCTTATCCACCTCATCCCGCCACAGGCCACACATCTCCGGCCACGCGGGACGCCCACGACCCCCGTCCGCCGTCCGATCTCGCAACCACCAGATCCCGCCCGTCCACTGCCCACCCAAACCCCTCTTCCTCTCTCCTCTTCCCAGCAGACCAGAGCCAGCCAAGCCAGCTCCGCACCACTCCCCACCCCACGCTCCACGACGCGCGCGAGCGAGCCATGGCCGCCCTCCGCCTCGCCTCCTCCGTCACCCTCTGCCCGGCGGCCGCGGCCGCGTCGCCCTCGTCC